TTTCCATCCCGCCAATCTTCTTGCGAACATCTCAATTACCGGATTCCATGTTCTTGTCTCTTTGTATTTTGCTCCCAAGGGGAGTTCAAGGTATTTCATAGGTAAATCCCCCACTTTACACCCCAACACTTCAGCCATTTGCCTTTGATCCCTCCTATCACCAATTTTAACTAGTTCCGATTTTACCATGTTAATTTTTCAATCCCAAGACCAACTGGAAACACAGCAATATACATCGGAGATGCAACATGGTTGACTCACTAGGTTGACAAAATATGATAGCATCATCTACAAAAAACATATGGGAAACCTCCACTTTAGAATTTCCTTTACCAACCATAACACCTTTAATCATATTTAGTTCTCTAGCTCTCTCCAACAATCTACTAAAAGCCTACATAATGATCATGAATAATAAAGGTGAAAGGTCTCCCTGCCTCAATCCTCAGGATGCCGTGACGAAAGACGATGCCCCACCATTAACCATCACAGCGAAAAATATAGTAGTAATGCATTGTTTTATCCATTTCCTCCATCTATCACCAAATCCCGATCTTCCCAACATGTAATCTACAAAATCCCAATTTACATTTTCGTATGCCTTTTCCATATCTAATTTGCATGAAAGACCTTCCTTTTTGCTACTCATTAATTCATCTACCACTTCGTTTGCCACTATCATAGCATCAAGAATCTGCCTACCTTCTACAAAAACATTCTGTCTCTCTCCAGTCACCTCCCTCAGTACCTTTGTCAAACGTCTAGCCAACACCTTGGATAATAATTTTAACATGCACTCCACAAGTCTAATCGAATGAAACTTTTTTATACTCTTCGCCCCATCCACTTTAGCATTTAAAACTATAAAAATGAGATGGAAGGGAAAGGGAAATGTTGTGGGAGACTTGGAGGATTGTAGGAAGATAAGGCTCTTCCATAGATCATTGGTGGAGACTTTAATAGTGAGGGATGAGATTTGGATGTAGAAAGGAATCAGTAAAGTGAAAAACTATGTAGGTCTTATTCCTTTGGCTCTGTTTTGGGTGGTATGGAGAGAATGGAAAGAATAGGAGAACTTTCAAGGATATAGAAGCTAATTTTAATAGTCTTAAGGACATATGGTTTCAGATCCTAGGGTTTTTATTATGGGTCGTCTTCTTTATTCTTTTGAGGATCTTGGGGACTTGATTGATATTTTACTAGATATGTATATACTTTTATATGTGAGTTTGTACTCCTTGATGCCCTGTGAATAGATATTATTTATATTTCAAAAATATAGACCTAGATTTTCTAGACACCAACCAATCCATGCTCAATAAAAAATTTGGACCCTCCTTCCTTTATTTCCTCATTGATTTCAACGAGAGATTACTGCACAAACCTCCCTTTTTGGAAGCTTGTTCTAGAAAATTTTCATCAAAATTATAAAAGCTTAGTTTGTTTCCTTCCGATTGCTTCAATTAGAGTAGAAATGGAGACCTTACTACCCATTGCACCTTTTAGGCTCTTTCTCGAATGTGTTAGTACTTAATTCAAAGAGTTAATTTACATTCCAAATGCCATTGTGAATGAAACCACTCTCCATTTCCATCATACATGACCATAATTGACAAACCAACATCTGCTTCCTCAGTGTTTATTCTAACTACCACTCCCACAACTTAGCTAAAGAACTGCCACCATCAATGATTCACATAAAAGTTCCTCTTAATATAATATCTTATACACCCTGAACAGTTTAAACCATGTGTCAACCTTCATCAATCCAGCTTGCTATCTCTCATATAGGATCTCACAAGTTCATAAGAGCCACAATCCCAAACATCTTTTTTGATAACTAAAACCTATTTCATTAGCCACAGTGGTAACCTCGTCTAATTTCCTTACATATGTTAAAATGAAGCTTAAACTGCAGCACTAGAAAAAAGCCTCATTGGCAATCATATATGTCAGACCGGCACAAGAGCATAAACTCTTATATCAGTATATAAACAATTTTCCAGTTTCTAAAATCAGCAAACTGATTTTCTACCCTCTGGAATCATTGCCCTTGAAAGAATAAATTTTTATGCAGACCAAATCGTAGATATCCATCCCAAATTAGTAATTGATTTCTCTTCAAGCGTGTTTAAAAATATCAATTTTAATACAGCGCTAAGAAAAACCCAATTATGTATCATTCCGCCAAATAAGGAACGGGAACCAGTGGCTTCTTAAAACATTAAACAGGTAACATATCCTTCTACCCATTTGCCGCTCTGGAAGCTCAAAGTCAACTCTAGGTGACAAAGTAATAGTTGCGTTGAAGATAGGAAAAGGATCACCAAACGGAAGAGAAACACCAAGTCAATAACCCAAAATACGGGAGCTTTAAAAGGTAAGACTAAGGAAAAAGAGCTTTGATAAGGAACCAAACATGGAGGAAAATATATAAATCACCTTGCGAGTAGAGGAATTGGGTGAGTTAGGAGGAGATTTTGGAGCATCGTCCGGGTCATGAGTTAGGCCTTGACTCAGCGAGCCCGACGCGGATTCCTTATCTTCTGCCATTTTTTTTTTACTTCACAATAATCGGAGGCATGCGAGAGAGAGCAGATCTCGGAAGTGTTTTAGTCTCTGCCCCGCGCAGTGCTTGGTTTCCTTCAGCGGCTAGTCAATGTACTACTGTTACCGGCGTCGACTTTTCAGTTCGTTAAAAGGGCAAGGAGCTTTTTACATCGTGTTTTAATTTCTGTCTTATAACATAAAAAATTGTTATTAAATTTAAAAGTTTATTATATTTTTAAAAGATGAAAAATAAGTATGTTATTCATAATTTTTATTTGTTATCTGATAAAATTATTTAAAATTAAAAATAGATAATAGTTTAATTATTAAATATTTACAATAAATTATATATTTTTTAATTTTTATTAAAAATTAAAATTTTTTGTTGGCATCCGTATTTTATTGAGTCATATAATTATTTATCTTTGAAATAAAAACATATATGTTTTAAGTAATTTAAAATTATTCTACTATTTTAAATATATTTCTTTAAATAATATCAAGCATTCTCTTATCTTAAGATATACTACAAAACATATTTTTTTAAATAATATCAAACACTCTCTTATTGCAATATATACTACAAGAGGTTCTTTGAGTTTTATTCTAATTACATTCAGATTTATTAATTTAAAACTTTAAAATTTAATGGTTATATTTTAAATAAATACTATAATTTAATTATATATTTTAAAATTATCATTAAATTATAAATTTATTTTTTAAATAACACATGTGAAAAAATTATATGGAAAACAAAAATATAAAATTTTAAACTATATATATAAAAATTTTAGAAAAAAATTAATTGAAATAAAAAGAGAATTTGATCAATCAAACTTACTTCCATCACAATTCTTTAGCTATTTAATGCAAAAAAAATTCAAGATTTATTATGTTTTATTTTCTAGGCGAATTTTTCTATATTTTTCGGGAAAAAAAAATACTGATTATATTGTAACAATAATTTAAATATTTTATTTAACCTAGTTATCATATTTAATTAAAAAATATTGTATATATTGCAAATTTTCAAACTAATGAACCTAGTTGTGATTAGCTATAAAATTCATTAATTTTTATAATTCCCCTATATTTTAATTCATTAATTCTAATTTAATTTTAGAGTTTAATATTTTATTTAAATAATTGAAATTTAATTTCATTCGTATGAGTTTTTTAAACAGTTTTATAATAAAATGTTTTTCTTAGAAAAAATATTTAGATTTACAGTCAAATTTATTGATAATTATGATTTTCAAAGACAATAATTTATTTTTTAAGTAATTGTTAATTTTAGTTTTTTTTTAATTGTATATAAAACTATTTACGTGAGTATAAAACAAGCAATTAGAAATTTCACTGATTTATAAAGTAAATGATTTGTTACTTTTTAAAAAGTTATACATCCAATTGTAAGTATATCTAAAGATTCGTATTTAATGAAAAACTACAGATTCAAATATTTGCTACAACCCCATTAATTAAAACAAATCAGGGTTCAACCTTCCACAAGTTTATTAACATCATTTTTAGGTTAATTTGTCTTTTCCAAAGCCTAATAATATTTGGAATCTACCAATAAATAGTTAGTGAATTTTTTCCATTGTTTATACTATATCTAATTTAAAATAAATAAAAAAATAAACTGTCATAGAAATAAAAGTTGATTTGTAGAGAAAATATATATTTGAATCTTTTCATCTATTTTGCAATATAATATCAACAATTAAGAGATCAAATCTTAATGAAAATATAAAAATTATTGTTTTATAAATATATTTTAAATTAATTATTACCAACCTATAATATTTAATTTAATAAACTCAACAAGTTATTAGGATCCAGCCAAAAATAACAACCAAAATGGAAATCCCTAACCTGGAACCTTTTCTTTGGATGTCAATAAGGTGATGAGAGGTAGCAACTAAAGATTATTATTTTTTCCCCAAAAAAACGCTGGTTTCAAATGCTGCTGCAAGTGATGAACGATGAGCAATATCATCATAATGATTCAACTCTGGGAGAGCTCCCGGCTCCGCTTTGCTGCTGCAACCACTGCATTCATCAATGTTCCACGAAATCCACCCTTCTCCAACTCGTGAATACCAGCGATTGTGGTCCCACCAGGCGATGTAACATCATCTTTGAGCTGACCTGGATGCTTTCCTGTCTGAGTGGCCACAGATGCTGCTCCCAGAACCTGTCCATAAAATGAAGTTAGCTGTTTCTGAAAAATTAACTGACGAAAATGGGCAGATGAACAGCAATTGTTTCCCAAGAGGCATGACAGGCATATGCTGCTAACCATAGCAGAAGCAATCTCATGAAAGTTATTGGGGGCAAAGGGCCCTAAAACAATCTTGTAGTTAACATAGTTCTAGTAATGTGAGATAGTTGTTCCTATTTTCTGAATTTTCATGACCTCGTCAGATGCTGTGCATTTAAGTTATATAATGCATAAAAACTAGTTCAACTAGTCTGATCAATGCATGTACAAGCCATAACTCAGCAGAATCAGCACAAACAACCATGTGCCAAGGATGAAACCAACTTCCTCAAAAAATTGTTGAGAAAATCATTCCATGAGGTATTTTTGCGATAAAAAAACAAAAGATCAAATAAATGCAGTTTGACTAATGGGATTTACATAACAATAATAATGCAATATCTTACTTAATTATTAAAAGGTGGTAAATTAATTGATGAGTTTTCTATTATCTAATTCACAATCTTTATTGAATAAGTTATTTCATGAAATCTAATTTGAATTTGAAAATTTTGAAGATATGAAAGCTATGTCTTTTTGGAAAGTAACCATTTGAATTATTAAATTAAATTGTTAACTTACTGAAATATAGCCATCAGAGAACAATTTTCTGCATGAATATCCGGATTTATGATGTTTTATCTTAAAAAATTTTGGTAAGAGCTAAAACTAACTCTTAACAAATATTCTGTCTTATTTGTACTAGCTGCTAGAGATTTTTTGAGCAGATTAAAAATACTCATAAAGTTGTTACAAGAGTACAAATGAAAAGTACTGATATTTTCCTTTCAACATCAACATCTCCAAACAGTTTGAAAGTTAGTCTACCTTATATAAAGGGTATTTTGGCTAAAGATAGGTGCGGGATAGAACTTGGTCATAGAGTAGAAGAAAAGAAGAGCCAAAAGAAACTAGTCCAATGAACTTTTAAGTTGTGTAATACAACATAAGAGATTTTATCTTCTTATTTTTCTTGATTAATCATATACTTTCTTAGTGGATTCTGTCTCTAAACCAATTAAAAACGCATTGATCTAGTAGCTGATACTAGGTTTTGGAGGGAGTTTATTTTTGTTGTGCTTTAGTCATTGAAAAGACATGCTCTTTATTCTAATGTTTGGGATTTTACAGATATTTCTTTGGAGTTACATATATTTTTGTGTATGGGCTGCATCCCTTGGTACCATTGAATATATAGCTTTTCTTACTAAAAAAATCACATTTATTAACGTGTTGAAATCCTTGACTAGTAGTAACTAAAGTAGCAGATGTAGGTCATTGAGAACTGAACCACTAAATACTTGTGTTATTCACATCACTTTATTTTTTATTTTGTTGTAAAATTTTCAAGTGAGAATTTTTAATTGCATATATTGTTCAAAGATCACCAATTCACTCTCTTTAGGTGCCCACCATTTGTGGCAACAAGACATTACATTTTCTATCTTAATAATAGGTTAGATTAGTACTGTAATTAGCACTTCCTTCTGTTGTTTTTTTGTTTTCAAGTAAGCAAGTTGCATGATTAAACATCACCTAAGTGCATGACTAGATATCATTACCCTTTCTAGCCAAGTAGAAGAAAATACTTCATGTGCAGAACACATAATGAGTTATGTGATACAAAATTCTTCTGCGTTTTAGGGTGAAAAAGAAAGGGGGAGAGGCATGAAAACATTAAGATGATTAAATCAGTTCCATTACTTACAGTCTGAGAAGCTAAAGCCAATGCGAGTTCTCGTGGGAGACCTGCAGCAACACCTCCATCAGCCAAAGCTTCAATTGCCAAATATATATATGCCGGACCGCTGCCACTGTTTTAGGAAAGCACATAAATTATTAGATATTAATAAGAGAGATTTCTGGGCCTCCCTTAGGTTTATTTATTTTACCTAAGAACCACAAGGAAAAAAACAGTAAGAGTCCATCAAAATCTGTAGCATTAGAATTTCATAATGCGAAAGGACTTCAGATCCTGCAGTAATTATCAATACCACTTACATATATTAAACAACCATTATACCTGAGACCAGTAATTGCATCAAACAGTTTCTCATTAGCTCTCCATATCTTGCCAACTGATCCAAATAAATTAGCAACTAGTTCCCCATCATCTTCTGTAGCAGCCCCTCCCAAGCTCATAACTATTAGATACAACCAGATTAGATACCTTTTGCAGGGTCCATTATCATGAACTTTATATGCATAAAATACTGCAAATTGCAACCTCAGACCCTTCAAAGTACTTTTGGAGTTTCAGGAAAAAAAATTCTATACTTTTTTTTTTTTCACAAAAGATGACAAAAACAAAAGAAATAGATACCAGCAATAATTGGAGCAATGATGACATATAAAAAAGGTTCGACAGGTTGCCGTGCAAGATCTTCGCAAGATGCATTTATAGTTTACATAACCTGTACTGGTAATTTCAGTGAAAATCTTTACAATTTATGTTGATCTAATATGGGAGGCAAAAATCGGAAAAAAGAAAATGATATGAATGACTTAAAGTCTAAATTGTCCAAATAGATTAAAACTTAAAATTTTTAGATATATAAGACTAAGATAATTCTCTTAAGCCAATCTAGACACAATTTTTTACTTACAAGAATTATAATTTCTAATCTATTTAGATAATCTAAACTTAACCTATGTCACATCATTTAAGTGCAAAATTTAGAAAGAGTTAGGTTTAGATTGCCTTGAACTGAAGAGTAAACTTTATCATAAAACTTGTCTAAGTAGTTGGGAGGTGAATAATTTTTACGAACGGTGACTTTCATCTCATCCATTGGTTCAATTGCCAGTTGTCCCTTTTTTGTTATATTCTCATCAATATTATACCACCATATATTTGCTAGTCCAGCCAACTTAATTTTGACGAATCTAATTCTTCATACAACTTACATGTTATACTAACTAAAATATTCTTCCATTGACCTGTCAATCAAGGAAGAAAATGAGATATCTCTTTTATCCAAATAAGAAGCTTCAACCTTTACACTGTTGGTAATATCTCCAGCATTATTTTCTATTTATTTCCTATCAGCGGCTGGTGGCAATTGTAAATTTCGAACCAGTGAAGCTACTTGTGTAGTGGCAAGTGTTTAATTCTTCTAAAATTGCATTACTTTTTTTTTGTTAAGTTGAATGTAGTACTAGTACCTGCCTCATTTGCATCTTGCCTAATAGGCAATTACATTTTAGTCATTATTGTTGAAAGCTGAAATTTTTCTTGAACTAGTATTGGACTAGACTGTTTGAGGCAAGAACCAGCCAAGAGAACTGGTCTGCTCAAACTCGGATGTCAGAGAAGTCAAAACAGGTCAGATTCAGGAAGTCTCACTTGTGACTCAAGTGCTGACTTCCAGTCACCGGATGCAGCACGCTTCTATCAGCTGACTTGACTGAAGGTGGGGGTTGCAAATCAGAAGTCAGCGTGAGATGCAACTGCACCAAATGAAGGTATCACAGGAAGCTGGGGCTGGGGAGTTTGTGGTGGTGAGTGGCACATTTTCCAGCAGAGTTGCTATTACTTTGCTATTGAAGGGAATGAACAAGCACAAAGTTTGCTAAATTTTCATGTGAAAGCTTGAATATTAAGGCTTAATATCACTTGCCATTTCTAAACAAGTTGGCTGAGTTTTCTCCCAACAAGGGAAAAATGTTGTAAAATGCCTTAAGTCTAGATTGACTAAACAGTAAGACCTTATAATTCTTGTAAACATATAACTTTTATACTATTTATGATTATATTATTATAGTTTTAGTAACTTTTAAAATTTTATTTTTATTAATATCTAGGTTTCCTATTTGCATTAATAACATTATTTCCTAAATCCTATTGCAGAAGAATGAATAGCTGTGTATTTTGTTGAATATTAGGGTCCTATACCCTTTACCCTAATGTACACTTCTTAACACTTCATTTCAAGATGGTGAATAGATATTATTCATTCTCAATTTAGCAATAATCGTCTGAAATACAGGATTATTTAATCCTTAGTCAAAACATCAGCAAGTCGTGAGGTTGTTGGTATGTATGAAGTACATATCAACCCATTATCCTTAAGTATCATACTTTAGACTTCTTAATTGTAATGTCTAAGAAACTCTAGTGTCATATCTAAGCTTTAATCCCTGAATTAGGCAACTTCTGATTATCCTACATCAGAAAATTGTAGAAATATGAATAGCTATAAAAAAATCAGGGCAGGAATTAGAGCAATAGAATAAGCTCAGCACATCTCGTTGTAAGTCCTTTGCAAGTTGCATTATGTTTTACATTATGTGCACAAGGAATTCTGGTGAAAATTGTAGCTTACTTCCAAACACAATAGTTACTAGAAAACAGGCAGAGATAGATAGTTTCATCTACATCTGCTATATTCTACAAACTGATGAAACTCAGTAATGCCAGCATTTCCATGAAACAGAGGTTCATAAATCATAAAAATTGTCACTAATGATGATAAATTAAAAAATAAATAAGCAATACCTGTTGCTGCCTCTCCAACAGCAGAAGGAGTATTTGGTATCGCTCTTATAAATCGGCTATGACCAGCCCATTCCTAATCAAAATAGAATCACTACTTCAAGATTTTTTACAATATCAGGAATTAAATGCGAGATACGGTTTCTAATTCTTACATGCAAGAAGAAACTAAGGATACTTATCCACAAGAAGTGGGCATGGATTAACAGGGAAAATACAATCAACTAAGATTTTGGAATTGTTTCGCTTTCTGCAAACCAGTTACTTGCAGTCATTTCACTCTTAAGTCTCCAACACCAGAATAAAGAGTTTTTGGCCCAAAAAAAAAACACTGGTCCATGCAACTAGTTGTTAAATATGTCATGCATTCCTACTGACATTGTCTATTTAAGGCACCAGGTTACAATCCACAATGGCACATCTAACAAAGGAAAAACAGCACACCCTAACGAATAAAAGAAAACAGCATTCCTGTTCAGTAATGATAGATAGAAATCCATCAGCTGGGTCAGATGACATGTAGTAGTAGCTGGGTCAGTTGGTGAGCTTGGAAGTCGGATGGGATAGAGGTGAATAAGTAGAAATGAGAGTGGTATCTTTACTTCACTATACATTTTCCGGTTAACAAGAAGGTTTTTGAAGGAGAACTGACTCCTTTTTATAGGGTTAAGGACTACTGGCTTCAAACTCTTAGTCTATTGCTAACTTGTTGTGCTCTTATAGATGAGGGAAAGATAGTAGATCCACTTGATATTTTGTCTTGAACCATGTGATATCAGACACTTCTTTGTACAGCTCAATACTCCTAGCTTCCTAATGAATAACATCATTTTTTCCCTAACAAATAAATTAAGGGAAAAAAGGAAAAAACAAAAAAAAGAAATTCCTCTAGACATCTATTAGGGACCTCAAGAAGAAAAATAATGCCATGGGGTTCTGTTCACAAAAGCTCTACAAACCTAACTCCAGTAACCTCTATCTTCCTCCTCTTCCTGGTTCTTGCAATAAAAGCCACTGAGAAATACTGGGGTTAATGCAAAGAGAAAACAAGTTACAAACTTTAGAATTAAAAGTTAAATACTACAGAAACACTTGATTCTACATATGATATTCTAGCATTTCTTGTAGTTGTTATGCTGAAGCAAAATGCATAATAGAAGAGGACATGATTACATACCTCTAGATCCTTCAATTTTATTCCGGCAGCAATTGAAACCAAAAGCTTCTTCTTGGAAAGCAGTGGCCTCAACTTCAAGACCACATCTTTCACTACAAATAACCATAAGAAGGTTGAAATGACTAGGTTTACTATTACAGAAATAAGACACATAACACAATCAAATAATTTTTGTTAATCACGTTAAAGAGAAATTCTTTACCAATAATTTTATATCTCGGATATACATAAAAAAAGTAAACAACTTAGGGTAGACTATTCGCCTCGTAGGTTTATTCTTGCTCTTCGTTTCATGTCCTTATCTACACAAACATCCATGGCATTTATTCATTTCTAGCAAAGTCCTTAGTTTACAATATTGTCTCAAATGTGATTTTTATTGAAAACTTTTACAGAATAGCGAAAATTCTGGCTGAATTACTTGAATAACATAACAAAAAATGAATTATAAAAAATTTTATAAATTGAAGGACCAGATTGTAGGGAAAAAATTTTTTGTGATCTAATTTCAATGTAGGGAATAGTTCAAGGACTAGAATAATAATTGACCTAAATAAGTTATGTAAGTCCAAGAGTTGCGAAATCAGGCTGCCATGTGTCAATTTCTCACTGTGTATCCATATTGCACTTTATACCGGACGATGTTTATTTCCTCCACTTCTTAGGAAAATTTTTGAGAAGAGAAACATAAGATATCAAAATTTCCATGTAAACGGAGAACATGTCAACAATTGTTTTTTACATTTCAGTATCTGAAGCATATGGCTAAAAACTACAGATATAAACCATATTATCATATACACCATCATTGTTAGAGACATTAAAACTGCCAAAAGGAAAAGAACAACATAGTAATTTACAATAGCAATTTAGGCGAGCAAGGGAAATACCAACTTGGGGTTTTACTGAAAAAATAACCACATCACTGTCTTCAACAACCTGTCATCACATTGTCAAATTTCCATTAGTTTCAAGTAACAGATAAACTAGATTGAGCTGACGGATAGCATAACAAGCTGATTTACAGCCCAATCAATTTAGATGCATTGAGAAGATAGGATAAGAAAAGAAACTAACTGCCTCACTACTAAAAGAACTTAGCGGTCACAATTTGAGGCCTAATCTAACTCCGTGTCTACATTGAACCAAACTTCCATTACTGATAAGTAACAACAGAAATCCTATCTTTCAAATCATCTCTCTAAACCTTGTAAGAGCAAAAAAGAAGAAAAAATCCAACTAATGTACATGGAGAAATTGTAAAAAGCAAAATGGAATTCCTTCTGTAAACGATTCTTCAATAGACCATCTGTGCTTGACGCATAGACAGTTACATATAAACAGATATGTATAAATGATCGTATATGTGTCTGCCCAACAGTATACATACATACATACATATATATATAGAGAGAGAGAGTATGAGAAATACGGCGTCGTTGTTGGGAAGGAGTTTGACGCCGAAGGATTCGAAGACAATGCGGCGATTGGGATTCGAGTGAGAAGTGCAGATACGTTGCGGAGGCAGCAAACCTGATTTTACCACACCTCTCGCTATGCTCTCTGCCATTTTCCCTGCTCCTATGAACCCCAGCTTGTACGTCTCCACCTGTATCGGGACTACCTCCATCCTGATTCCACAAGACAACGCCGTAGTATTATAGTTCGTCACCACCTATTCAGCCTGATACAGCTTTGCCTCCACCAAGCGACCTTCTGTGAACTCAATTGGTGTTCCGCTCGAGTTACCGGATCGTTATGTGTCCCTCTCGACCCGATTGGGCTCCCGTTGCGGGCCTGGGTCCCCCGCTTTGACTCCTTTCTTCGTTCCGTTCCTCTCTTAAAATAAGCCAACGAGTTCACATTCCATAAGACGGGCTTGAGACTATTAGAAAACAAGTCATGAGCTAAGTGCTAAATAAAGATTTCAAAATATATTCAAATAACATTGTAATAAAAATTAAAATATTTAATCTTAGTAATTAATTAAATATATAATTTTATATTCCGTATCATTTGCAGATCTTTACCCTTTTTTTTTTAATTACAAATGTAATATATGAATATTATAAAAAAAAAATTGAAACTTTGACTGGGAGAATGGAGACCGGATTAAATCTGTTGATCTCCACATCGTATTTAATTAATTTATAAAATTTTCTGTTAAATATTTTAATATAGAAATAAAAAAAAATATTTTCATGTAAAGAAAAACAAAATCTTATTTATTTATTTATTTTTATTCTGGCGGGAATATGGAAATATCAACCCTAAACATTAAGAACGGAAAGAAAAGGACACAATTAGGAAAACGAATTACTCCGTTTAAATTCAAACCCTGACTCAGGACCTTTTTCTTCTCCAGCACTTTCCTTTCTCCTGTGTGAATCATCAGCTTGTCGTTGATCATCACAATCCAATACCTGTTCAACGATACTCTATTTGCGAGAGGTTAGTCGAGCAAATTTTTTGCCAAGTTTCGACGACAATCGCTTGATAAATGTACGTGATTAAGAGGGATGGGCGTCGAGAGCCGGTCCATCTCAAGAAGACCACTAGGACTGGGCTGACTAACCAGCATTTTGACCCAGTGCTAGTGGCCCGGAAGCTTTGTGCGGGTGTCTGCAAGGATGTTACCACCACGCAGCTTGATGAGTTAGCCGCGGAGACCTAGACCGTCAAGGCTGCAAATCATCCCGATTACACTCTAGCTCGTGGTAGTTTTGCAATCTATTATATGTGGGAGAGTCAAGAGTTTCATTGGTTGATTTGTGACGGTTCTTTGATTTTCTCATTTCGATTCTTGGTTTGAACCTGTTATGATTTTTGCTCCTTTTTTATTTTTTTTCAATTTTCTCTTTATTGATTGGTTGATTTGATTGATTCTCATTGTATCAGCTGCTAGGATTGCAATTTCAAATTTGCATAAAACACGAAAGTGTCATTTCCAGAGACGTTAGCACTTGGTGTTTCGTTCATGTAGTCTTTTATGAATTGTTATATTATCGAAATGATATAGTGATGGTTGATGTAGGATAAAATTATGTATAGGTATTTTATAACAGGTCTGGGAAGAGGGCTCCTCTTTTTGCCCGATGATGTTTATGAAATCTTCACGAAGGTAGTCTTACTTTGAATTTTATCCTTATTATGGCTATTCTTCTTGCAGTTTATATTTTACTCCTTATTTTCGTTTGTCACATGACTCGTGGTATATTCTATCTTGTTTTTTATTTTTTGAGAAGGTTATTTACTTGATATTTTCATTTGTTATAGTAATTTTGGCATATTTTATTGATCTATTCTGGTTATTCCTGATGCAAATTCCTAGGTGTAGTATGCCTGTCTCCCTTCCTTTCCCATTTCTTTGATCTTTCTTGATGTTCCTTCTTCATCTATATTTCAGAAATATATAAAATAATCTAAAACCTGAAAGCTATAAATGGCGATGTGGGTTTCATTGAATAAAATTACATGGGACCATACTTGTTTTTGACTTAGTATATTATACTACAGGTAATATATTAGTGGCGTATAAATTGATAAACACAAAAAAATGCCAGATAATACAAGTTCTGATGTGCATGTGGGAGGGGAACGACCCTGTGTTGTTAGAGAGAGTCTCATACAATGGCAAAAAATTGATTGACTATGAAATGGAATTAGACCACCAGAAGCATATAATAAAGGATAGAATTTTGAAGATTTAAATTGTAAATTAAATTTGCCTTTAACAGGGTTATGACTTCCTTTTATAGTTGTGTTGATGCCCTCCGACTTGATGAGGACTCACCCAGTTTTTCTTAAACTACAATGTCAATCGTTGTTTATGCAGGCAGGACTCTGTCTAACTATTTTATCAAGAGGTTTGGGAGAAAGGTTTCTCTAATTAGCAATGATGTTTTTCTTGCTGTTGATGTCATCGTTTTATTTCGGTCTTCGGAAAATGACAAACACTTTAAAACCACTACTTATTCCCCGTCTAGTTCAATTAAATTTCCATTCCTTTATCCCTCAATTACTAGATTCTGAATGAACTTCATTCAGGAGTAATTGAGTGGTAAAGGAAAGAGAATTGAATTGAACAAAACAGGTTTAAGCAGTTAACTCTCTAAACTTTGTTGTCTTGAACTTTTCCTCTCACCTAGTTTCTCATACTGTGGTTTGGTTAAATAAAGTGAGGTGATTGTGTTTAGTTCAAGTAGTCTTCAGTTATGTTTTCCCTGCTGAACAGTGAGTGAAGCTGGATAAATTTGTATAAGATAATTTTGGATGAGGGTTGCTGTTGGTATTCACAAAGATGACATCGACTCTGTTCTCAGAACATACCATTTAATGTCCGAGCATTGTGTTAGTCCTACCCTTTCAGTGCAGCAACCCAACAACCACAAATAATTCCAATTTTCTTTAGGCTTTACTGCATTTCAATTGTCTTTTGAATTTTTACTAATGTGCTTCTCATTTCAATTTTCTTTGACTTTTACCTGATAATACATGAACTTTGATTTCTTCTTCCTATCTTTGTCTATGGTGAATGGTAGGTGACTAGCTGCTCTTTTATGTGCATGACAAATGACAACATTGAGGATACTTATTATTTTCTGAAGGAATTTGATGTTATTAGTAACACAGTTAGAGGAATTGGTATCTAAATTCATAAGATTCAGGCTTCAAGGAATCATATTATCTGGCACTAAGGGGATCTCTAAAGGCATTGTTCCTACTTTTGAGTCTTTAATAACAGCTTGCTATGTGTCAGGAACCTTGCTCATGGTTCTGACTTTGAGTTTGATTGGAAGGAAGAAAGGAAAAGAAAAGAGAAGAGAGTTAATTCGAGAGAGAGAGTTTCAATTGCTTTGAATTTGAATATTTTTCGTTCAGTAAAATTTCCGAAGAGAGAGCCATATTTATAGGCCAGCTTGGGGAAAGGGTGCGCCTGTATGTTAGGCGCACCTGTTACTTACAACAGCCTGAGCTCCCCGATGGAAGTGGATGTGGTTACAACAGCCAGAACTCCTCGATCAAGTGGCAAGTGATCAAATGGGAGTTTGATTAAATGACCCTTCTACCCTTTTCCTTTTCAATCATTTTCCATTTTACCCATTTTCCGATAACACACTTTGAGAAGCTTCCTTATGCTATGTCGGTCAATGGGGAGGCAAGAGGAAATCTTTACTGCACTAGTACTCTTGTTACATGTTTGGATGATCGAATTTATCACTCATGTAATATACCTGCAGAAATGACATAACTAAGCTAACTTTTAAGTGCCCTTATTTTTTCCCCAGCCTGAGCTCTCCGATGGAAGTGGATGTGGTTACAACAGCCAGAACTCCTCGATCAATTGGCAAGTGATCAAGTGGGAGTTTGATTAAATGATCCTTCTACCCTTTTCCTTTTCAATCATTTTCCATTTTACCCATTTTCCTATATTACACTTTGAGAAGCTTCCTTACACTATGTTGGTCAATGGGGAGGCAAGAGGAGATCTTTACTGCACCAGTACTCTTGTTACATGTTTGGATGATCGAATTTATCACTCGTAATATACCTGCGGAAGTGACATAACTAAGCTAACTTTTAAGTGCCTTTATTTTTTCCCCTCAGAGAATTTAATGGACCTGTATGGTGTAACACCATCAGATCAATGGAATTGGGGATGTTCTTAGGGAAATAATCTCAAAGAACAGAGTGG